TATTTGGTGAGCTGGTATCATAAAAAAGGTCATTGAGAGTCGCTTTCAACGGCATATCAACTTTTGTGTAACAGCAAAAGTAATCGAAACTTTCGAATTTTTCGGGAAATTTTCAGATTATTTTACATTTCAACAGAAATGAATTTAAAATAATTCGTTGAAATTAATACATGATAATCCCCAATAAAATCTATGGATTTATAATAGAATGAAACCATAAAGTGTTATATAACAATGTAAAGCTAATAAAATTTCGCTTCTACTGATGTACATATACATATATACGTTAGATAAATATAGCTAGCACAAAACCGGGAAGAAAATAGGATTTAAAATTTTTAAATAAAATACAAAACATATCGAATTTCGAAAAAACCCTTTAGGAGAAATAATATCAGGTTTATAATGTAATAGTTTCAATTAATTAGAGTAAATAATTCTATGTAAAAATTTTAAAAATCTAAACATTTTCTGAAAAATTAGCACATTTGTAATAATTTAGGAGTCGTATACAAAATTATGTTATGTCATTGAAATCGTCTCTCAAAGGCCTTTCATATGATACCATAAATATCAAAACCTTAAAAAAAGACCTTTATATCCTTTGATCCAGCTCACCAAATATTGACGTCGGGACAAAAATTTTGAGAATTGGTAACTTAGAATGAACTAAATTTTAATTTTCGGTGGGAACATCAGCAACTTAAATTTTGGGGTCACCCTAATATACATACATATGTATGTATATTTTTATATTCGTATACCTTATTCGTATACTACATATGTACATATATATGTACATACATATCCACAGAATAATTTTCAATTGTTGGCATTGGATATCATTAAATCATATCATTGATTACTGCAGAGAATTAAATAATTACATATGTATATGTACATATATATTTAGTAAATAACTTTACATATTTGAAAATAATTATGCATATATTATAAATATTACAATAAAATATTTGAAAAATTAGTAAGTAAGCATGTATTATTATTTGTGTACTTTTCTGTAGCTTATAAATACATAACGTACATTTACCACAATATTGGCATAATTCAAAATTTGGGTTTTTTGGAAATAAATAAAAAAGTTTTTTTTTATTAAGTTTTATCCATTTTCAAAAATGTCTACTGTTTTCGGTGTGACAAGGATTTTTTGTTTTAAAAGTTAAAACTAAAAGTCATGTTTTTACGAATATCTGATAAAAAAGTAAAAATTTAATTTAAATTTAGGTGGAAAACATCTTAAACATTTCTATCTAAAACTGGTAAAATTTTAAAAATCTTTAAAATTGTAAAATGCCATAAAATATTCAAAGCAGTTGTTCTCGAAACATTAATTTTTGAATTATGCCAGTCTTGTAGCAAATGAAGGATATATATTTAAAATTGTCAAAATGTCTATTATCACATGTAGTAAATGAAATTGGATGATTAAATAATTGGTTGGAAATTTAGCAATAATATATTCTTGTTGTTTAAAGCAAAATAAAGACATAATAAATAAACTGAAAATAAATTATTTTAACTTTAAATTTAAATCTTATATTATATATGTATTTTGCAGTTGTAAAGAAGTAAAAAGTTTAGCCATTTATGATACATATACACTATGCTATAGTACGAATATATAGAAAAATCAATGGATTGATTCTATCAGCCTTGTAAATTACAATAAAATTGTTTATTAGCAACAAAAATTAAAAACTTAAAAACATTTTTTGGAAAGTTTGAAGAAGTTGCAGTCTAAAGTCCTTTGGACAATTTTTGCTAAGACCAGTAGGTGACAAGTTACACTCATTGTTATTATGTTTATGTAAATTACGGATGTTTAATAAAATATCCCAAACCAGGAATCGGACCATGACAGGAAACTGAGCAAAATATTGTTTAAATAGCCTGATTGTCTATTAATGATTTAACAAGTTTACATCTGAAATATCGCTCGTAGATCACATAAAATACAAGTAATCAGAAAAAATGGTAAGATCGGTTCACGATTTTTGCTAGTCCTCATACAAATGTCTCCTGAAGAACTATATTGTAAAGTATGGCGAAAATCGGTTCACATTTAACGTTTGCCTCCATATATGGCTGAAAATATCGTTATAGCGATAATACAAACAAGTTTTGTAAAAATAAAAGTCTCTTTAAAAATATTCTCAAGAATCGGTGAATATTTGAATCTAATTCGTATAAATAGTTACTTTAACCTTTATAACTGTAAGAAAACAACTAAATTAAATTTGACATAAACAAGGGATCAGAAAACATTTATTAAATATCATATTTGATCTTAGCTCCATTTAAGTTCTCCTCCAGAAAAAGGCTTTAGCAAATTATGAGCGATATATGTATGCGGGTATTGCCCAAAATTTTTCAATTCTAACAAGTAAGAGTGTTATATTCGGCTGTGCCGAATCTCATATACCCACCCTCAAATAGTATGATGTAAACGTAATAATTGTTAAAGTCATTTTCTGAAAGGAGGTACGGTCATTTATGGGCCGATCCTAAAAAAAAGTTGGTAGAGAGGTTTTGGCTCGTAAGAAACTTACTTATACCGAAATTCATCGCTATACTCGAATTTTTAGGCCATTAATGAGTGTTAAAGTCATTTTCTGAAGGGGACCATATATAGGGGGTAGGATCAATTACCGATACTCAAAAAATTTGGTAAAAAGATTTTGGCTCATATGAAACTTATTTATGTCGAATTTCATCGCTATACCCGTACTTCTAAAACAGTAATGCCCGTTAATGCTGTTTTTGGAGGTCCACTTGTATGGGGACTATCCGAAAACGTGGACCGATATTGCCCATTTTCAATATCAAACAAATCCCTATCGTGATTTCAACAGACGGACGGACGGACATGGCTAGATCGTCTTAGAATTAATAAGGGCCCAGAATATATATACGTTTTTGGGTCTATGAGCAATGTTTCGATGTATTACAAACGGAATGACAAAATCAATATACCCCCATTTTTTTTTGATGGTGGGTATAAAAACAAAAAAGAATATACAGTCGGGCATGGCCGACCATATGATACCCTACACCAGTGATTGTGTTTCAAATGTTGACCAGTTTTTTAATAAGAAAGCATTTAATTTAATTTTTACCTTAATTCAGAAATATTTTAACAATTTTTGACAACAAAAGCAGGGAGTTAATATGAGCATATGATAATAAATTTTGGCAAAGGGATTTACCTCTACATTAAAGTTATTTATGCATAATATCTTCGTGATATTAGTGTTTATAAGTGAATTTTGACCATCAGATAGATTCAAATGAGGGCCGATCATTACGAAAATCAGCAGTATCATTAAGACTTATATAAAACTAAGTTTTGCCGATTTGCAGTGATACAAGAACATTTAACATATTTATGAGATCAAAAACCATATTCGGGGGGTACGGTTTTTTTTTCTGGACCAGCACTCCGGGGATGAGCCCTACTCATGCAGTGCATTGTCCTGGAACTAGGGAAATAGGTTGTGGGAGGGAGGATAGTGGGAGTAGTGTTTGTGGACATTTGATTTAAACCTTTTCACATCGAAAGTGACGGGGAATACTTCTGCAGGAAGTTTGTTCCACATACGAACAGTGCGACTGAAGAATGAATTTTCCCTGTAATGTGTTGTGCGGTCCACTGGCCAATCGACTGACCAATGGGCGAGTTTTTGATGACAGTCGTGTGCTGTGTAAATATATACGGGTATCGGTAACGAGTTCCCTAATTTCAGAGGAACATATTCCGTTATAGTATCGATAGAACAGTAAAATACACCCCACGTTGTGATGGTGCTCCAGTGAATCAATACAGTTATATACCCTACTGTCACCGATAAGTACCTTCGCCCTCTCTTGTACGCGGTCGAGTTGCTCCAAAATAGACTTCGGGGGTACGGTTGTATGGGGGCTATGCGAAATAATGGATCGATTTTAACCATTTTTCAATAGACTTTGTCCTTGGGTAAAAGGGAGAGTTTGTGTCAAATTCCATCAAGCTAATTCCACTCAGAAAGTGATTCTGAGCCGATTGGTATACTTTAAGGTGGGTGTGCGACCAATATTTTTGGGTGTACAAACATCAGCACAAACGCATAATACCCTACACCATTATAGTGGTCTAGGGTATAACAAAGTTGCCTTGAGTAAAATTCACATTTACTTAAGTTAGGCCTTTAGTTAGATAATATTGCTATGCTAAACCACTGTGCAGTCTAGAGTATGAGGAAATAAAAAAGGTAAATATATAACATTCTCTGGTAATTAAACTGTGAAAGTCGAATGAAATAAAAGACATTTATTTAATTTTTTGTTTGTTTTTCATATAACATTTCTTTTATTTTTTGTTTATTTTTTTTTCAAAGTTTTTGTTGTTTTTTTTTTGATTTGGTTAGACACATACACATATTAATTCTCATGTTTTGTTTTTGCAAGAGTTGTATTTATTATTTTTTTTTAATATGAATATTGGATTCGTTTTCGTTTTACTTTTAATACAAACAGGATTTGATTACAATTTTTGGCATTTAGTTAAAGATTAGATTGATTTGAATTGAGATTTGGATATTGAGTTTGAATACATTTTTTTTAAATAATTTACATAAATAAAACAATAACTAAGGGGAGATATAGAGATTCATGGGGGGAGGGGGGAGTGTTCTTAAAGGGGTTGTGGTTATGGTAACAGTAATTTTAAGTTTTATATATATTTTTTTTAATCTTTGGTTTAAATTTAATATACTTTTGTGTGTGTGTGTGTTTGTTTATTTGTATGATTTACAGTTTTATTTTGTGGGTGTTTGTTTTTAGTTAATTTAATAAAAATAAATAAATTATTAATAAAAAAACAATAAGAAAAAACAAAATAATAAAATAATAATAATACTTGTGTGTGTTTGTGAGTTTGATGGTATGAGTTGTAGTAGTATTTTGCTTGGTTTTTTTTTAAGATTTTAATGAGTTTTTAATGAGATTTTTTTTTCTTAAATAATTTTCTTATTTTTAAGAAATTTATTTGAGATTATTTGTAATAATTTAATAAATTTAACAAGTTTTTACAAAAACAAAAATAAAAGGGGGTAGGTTTGACTAGTGTGCAATTATTTTGAGTTTTTCTTTTTGTTTTTTTGTTTTCAAATTTCAAAATCTTCGTTTTGATTTTCTTTCTTTAAGAAATTTGTGTTTTTTTTTTTTGTTTGTTTAATGGTTGTTTTTAATGCAAGGTTTAAGAGTTGTAAAATAAATAATAATAATAAATAATTAACAAAAAATACAATAATTTTAGAGTTTTTTTTCTTTATACATAAATATAAATTAAAATAAATTAATAGTTTTTGTGGGTTTTGTTTTTTAGTGTTTGATTTTTTATATAATAATAATATTAGTAATAAAATTTTAATTTTATTTTTTTATGATTTATATTATTTAATGAAGTAAATTCAGTCTTTGGTATTATCACAACATTTGTTTTTACACAATTTGGGGTTTTTTTGTTTCATTTTTTGTTTTAAATGTTTGTTTGTTTGTTGGTTGGTTTTCCTCTTTGATTTAGTTTTAATGAGTTTATTTGCATTTTTTTGTAAAAAAGGCAAAATAAAAAAAAAAAATTAACAAAAAATTTAATTATATAAAAATAGCGTAAAAAAATTATTTTAAATAAAATATACAAAACAAAAATGTCTTATTTTAAAAGGAAAGACATTTTTATTGTTAGTTTGTTGTTGTTTTTTGTAATTGGCGTTAACAAGTTAGAAACATTTATGAAACGCCCAAATCGCGCAGCAAATGCTGTGTAATAACTTCACCCTGTTCTTCCATTAGTTGAGCCGTCACTGTATTGATTAAATTGAACACAATGGCAAAGACAGTGAAGGCACAATAGATGCCCAAGGCTAGCCACCAAATGAGATTTTCATAGGCCCGATGCTCAAAATTCTTAAGCACCAAAAGGCCAATGGTGAGACCAGCCAAAGCTCCAGTTAAATGAGCTATATAAGAAACTGGAGGAGCTTCATTAAGAGTAACATCAACGGCTAGATATTGTGTATAAAATGCATATCCCAGATCGCAAAATACTAAAATGAAAAAATAAGAAAAAAAGCAAATTAGTAAAGGGTTTCTTTCTTTAAAGGATTTTTATAAATAAGTTTAAAATAAAAATTTATATTTTTAACTTTTCGTTTATTTAGAAACTTACCAAATATCACCACCGATACTAGCTGGGCAATGGCATATTTCATTTGACCATAATTGAGAGTTATATTGGCCAAATGAGCTGCTAACAAGGCATAAACACCACCACTGGCGCCCACCAAATACACCTCCGAATCCACCACACTGGTGCCCAAGGAACCAGCAAAAACACCCGCAAAATATATAATGGCTACACGCAGTGAACCATGCATGACCTCCAATGGAATGCCATAGAATAATTGTATGACTACATTGAAACCCAAATGGAACCAGTTGGCATGTAAAAACATATAAGAGATAAAACGCCAAACTTCTAAACGACGATCGGGTCTATAGATAAACACCGAATCGGTAGGTATGGCCAAAGGTAAGTCCTGAGATTTTGAATTATACTTTTGTACTGTCAAAATATCATAGACAAAAACAGCGATCTAAAAAGAGAGCAACAAGAGAGAGAGAGAAACAAAATTAGTAAGGAATTTTTTATATATAGAAAGCTTTAAAGCTAAGAAAGTTTATTCAACAAATACTTACTTCTAATAGCGAAATCATTAAAATGAATATGGGCCATGATTTACGATGATCAGCTTTAAAATAAACTGACTCCATGTCACTGTTTAATTCCAAGGATTTGTTGTGATGATGATGATGATGTTGATGATGGTGGTGGTGTTGTTGCTGCTGCATTTGATGTGTTAGTGCTTTTTGCATATAAATGTGTTCATTATTATGTTTCGTACAACATGTTGTACTATTTACACTACTATCAGTATCATATGACGACGATGATGCCGATGAGAATGTTATAGCTTGTGGAATGTCTATAATTATCGATTCAAATATTGAATCTAAAGATTTTGTATTAGTTGTAGTTGTTGTTGTTGTGGTTGGTTCTGCAATATTTTGAGCCATTTTTAGATTTTGTTCTAAATTCAAAAGTCTTTTATAGTTGATAAACTGCAATACACAAAGAAAAAATGGGGAAATTAATTTTATTTCTTTAAACATTTTAGGAAAAAAATTAAGTGTTAAAATAAAGTATTTTTGGTTTTGTTTATAAAAGCCGATAAATTCTTTTATATTGTGGGTTTTGTTTACAAGATGTTTTTATGCATTTTTAGTTTACTATCCCTTATTGGTTGGTATGTAGTACTTTTAAAGGTACTTTATTTTACATATTTGTTTGTATGTTGTTGTTGTTGTTTTTGTTTATGTAAATGATAAAGTGTTTTTATTTTCTTATTATTTGTTAATTTGTGGCACAAAATTATTTTGTTTACTTTACAAAAAAAAAGTAACCTAATTTCTGAATTAAATTCTTTTTTGTGTGTAAATTTCCTGTGGTGAGGCCACAAAACCTATAACCAAAAGTAATTTATTTTAAAAACTTCCTTATAAAAATCTATGTCATTTTGTTTTATAAATTGTGGCAAAATATGAAAAGATGAAATCTAAAAAAACAAATCAAGGTTATTTACTATAATGCTTTTCTATAGAAATCTTGTTTGTATGAAAAAAAAAAACATTAAAGAGAAAATTGTCATCATCATCATGAGTAACAGCAGCAGAGTGGCATTATCATTGACAACAATCATATTAAATTATGTTTAATCACATTCGTTTCAATTACATTGACATCTAACAAAACAAATCATTAAATTGTTATTATTTCTCTACTTTTTTTTGTTGAAAACTTTTATTAAAGCTTTAATTTAAAGTTTTTTTTGTTTGCGAAATTTTTAAAACCTCTAAGTGTGTTTATGCTTAAATTGACTTAAAAAATATTGTTAATACAAATTTTTTAAAAATATTTTTAAAAAGCCTGGGAAAATTTTAAACTGTTAAGTTTTTAAGCTTTTAAGCTTTAAGTTTAGTTTCAAATATTTTTGAGAATTTTTTTTAAAAAACACTTTCCTTTTTAAGCCAGCTTATTAATTGCAAAATTTGTGGCTTAACTTTTGTTGTTGTTGTTTTTGTTAATTAAATAAAAAAATGTTAATAACTTTATTAAAAGCAAACTATTCAAAATTTGTTAAAAACTAAAGCATTAATTAAAGTATTTTTAATTAAATTTTGAAAAAAAAAAAACTCAAATACCATAAAAAAAAATATTGCATGTTGCATGAATTTGAAAAGCTTAACTAAAATATGCATTTTAAATTAAAACTGCAACATATTAGACGTTATGGTTAAACAATTTTTTGGGTTTAATAATAACAATTACAACTTTAATTTACAAAAATAAAGAGAAATCTTGCCAATAACTTTAAAGCGAAAAATTGCTGCTTACAACAACAACAAAAAATTTTATGGAAAATAAATTTGAACTTTAGCAATATAACCTTTGATATATGGATTTTTATATAGAAATCAGCTACACGTACGCAAAATTCAATTATAAACTGAAATAAAAAAACTGCAACAAACAAAATCAGTTTCCCAGAATAAGTATAAATTCTGTGGCTATAAGCTAAAACAAACTAAATCTTTTTAGGCAAAAGTTACTTTTTCATAAATTTTCTCTAAGGTCAACCACTAAAACATGAAATTAACACTTTTTTTGGGGGGAAAATTATATATCAAATTCTTACCTTATATAGTTAAAGTAGTTGTAGTTGTTGTTGTTGTTTTGCAGTTAATAACGTTTAGAGTATAAAGTTGCTGCTGCTGGCAGTCAAGTCCACTTGTCTGTTTGAAACAAAAAACAGCTGCTGCTGCTTGCTTTAATATAAATATGTTTGTTGTTGTTGTTTAAAAAAAAAACTTCAAGTTTTTTTGTTGTTGTGCGCTGTTTAAATAATCCACATATAATGCAAGTTATTAAGTTGCCACTGGCTGCTTAATTAAGCCCTTTTTTCAAACACTTTTGCTATTTTAAGGGAATATTTTCTTTATGTCTTTTTCTTCAACACTTTTTCTTTCAAAACTGTTTGTTTTCTTTAACAAAATTTATGTTTTAATTTCACACAATTTACGAAATTTTTGTATGCTCGTTGTTGTTGTTGTTTTATGTTTTGTTTTATTTAGTTGCAAATTGGTTCGTTTTAAAATATTTTTAAATTGCAATTGCTTGTTATAATTATTATTATTATGCTGCTGCTTTAGTTGATTGTTGTAATTTTTTGTTTTCAGCTTAAAATTCATTTTGAGCATAAGACGTTTTTTTAAAGAAAATTATTTTTTTTTCTGTTAAATTTTTTACACTTAAACAAAATTTCTTCGATTTTAACGAAATTTTTGTTTATAAATTTTCTTTTTTTTCTAAATATTTTTAAACAATTGTGCGTTTTGTTTTATTTTCACAATTTAATTTGTTTTGTTTCACGTTGTGTGTGTTGCTAAGTGATGTGTTTGTTGAGTTGTTGTTGCTGCCACGGCTGTGTGTGTTGTTGTAAAAAGTAATCCAAATTTTGTTTGTTTGCTGTATGTAGTAATTCACTTTTTTCATTCACTTAATTTCAATTTTTTCTTGTTTTAGTTGTTATTATTAAATCCAATAGGTTTTTCGTTTATGTCTTAAGTAAGTGTGTGTGTGTTTTATAAATGTGAAAAATTAATAAATTTATATTTCTTTTCTTTAACTAATAACTAACGTTTGATTTGCTTAAACATCCTACTACGTTCGCGTTCCGCACGCAACTAACACGGAATATTAAACTGCCGGTCTTGAAATACTTGTTTGAAAAAGTGAAAAATTTTTGCTTAAAACTAAAAATGTATCTTGTTTTTGTGTGCAACATACAACATGCTCTAAACCACAAACACAACATTCATACACGAAATAAAAAAAAGATATACTTAAACCAACAACAACAATCTACAGCAGTGGGAAACAGCTGTTTAATATGTATCTTATAGAATGTTTTGTATCTTTAACTAGTTCTACTTGTGTGTTTTCAACACTTACACAACCAACAACATGTTTTATATCTTATTAAAAGAGTTTATTGTTGTTGTCAATGCTGTAAAGGGGGCAAATACTCAAACAAAAGCAGCTGTTCCAAACCTAAGCGAACATGTTGCAAGTTGGCTACTAACTCAAATTCCAAAGTTAAACTTAAAACAACCACGTTTAAAACAAAGGTAAAATGTTTGAGTGTGTGCTTCCAAATGTAAAGTATAATTTTTGTTGTTGTTGTTGTTGTTGTATTTAACTGCTTTAGGAAAAACGGAAGCGGAATTTGAGTTGTATGTGGTTTGTGTGAATGTAAGAAACTATACAAACAATATACATGCAACATTTTTATAGCTTAATGTTGCAAGTTAAAACAAACAATAAAATATAGAAAATTTTTACCTGCAGCTGTGTGTCATACAGGAAATCTTGTCTTGTTGTTGTAGTTGTAATCATTATTCTACAACAAGAATGGTACGTGCCATGAACTTCAACTACATATTAAATAAAATCCCTAAAAATAATAATAAAATTTCTAAAGAAAAAAACTTTACTTTAAAAGAACTAAATTCTAAAATGAATTAAAAAAATAAAAAAACTTAATAAATATTATTATAATATTTATAATAAATAAAAAAAACATGAATTTTAACATTTTGGTTCGTTCTCTTAACCAAACATATCTCCAGCAAACTTGTTTTTATCTAGTTCGTGTGCTGGCTGTGTATAAGAGTTTGATCCAACACATTTTGGTGTGTATCGTTATTTGTCCCAAATATATATTTTCACTTATCTCAATGTATAGACTTAAATGCTGTTTAGTTTTCAAATTGTTTTTAGATGTCAGTGAACTGCCGAGGATTTAACATCTGCTGTGAAGCAGATAAATATTTGTGAAAAAGAAATTAAAAGATGTTTTATTGAAAAAAATACGTCTTTTTAATTTTTTTCACCAAAGCAATTTTTGGATACAAAATTTCTTTAATACGATAAATGGATTACGAATTTTGTGGTGTAATGATTAATACACTTTTAATGCTAAAAGTTTTTTTTTTTCAAGATATGGTGAAATTGTTTGAAATTTATGAAATAATTTTTTTCACATAGTTAATTAAACAAATATCACGGAATTGAAATGAGTCAATATTTATTTAAATATTTTTAATTCCGATATTTTTTATAAATAACGGACCGAAAAAAATTGTTTAATGCGTTGTAGAATCGGAAGCATGTTGGCTTTAGGTAAAACAAGCAATTTATGATCACCTACGAAAGACCAATTCTTTTACAGAAGTTGATTAATTCTATAACAAGTTACTTTGTTATTTTTAAAATTTTTTTTTTTAAATTTTCTTTTAATTTTATGGATAAAATAAAAACAATTTTTAAAACATATCAACTATATTCAAAATTGTTTACCTTAAAACACACGATTTTAGGAAATTGTTTTAAAACATTTTCTTCTACAATATCTTTTAAGAAAAGCCGTAAGTTTACATTCGAAGCTCTTAAAGTTTTGTTTATAACTACAGTAGTTTCTCGGTTTACGATAGATATAATATCAGGCTCATTTATAAAATTAAAAAAATTCGTTAAAGCGAATAATAGCTTTTAAAGCGTCAAAGATCATTTCAAATGATACCGCATATTGTATGATTTTTTTGAAATAACTGTAAGATTAAAAAAAAAAAAAATGATTTAAAAATCGATCCAGCTCAAGAACGGCCATCTCTAGAACCATCATATTTTGAAAATTGTTATAAAATAAGGGTTTTTGGAAACCGAATACTTTATTTGTAATAAAACTTCTAAAAAAGTATACTTTTTAGACTAGTTTCTTGAAAATGATGTAGGTTATAGCCCTTCTTAAACAAATTTATATATTTGGAATGGGGCTTAGGTCAATTATGGACCGAAGGGACCTTTTATGAGGGGTAGAATCAATTATTAACCGATAATAATAATAAGACCGATTTTGGTTGATATATAACTTCGCTGTCAGTAATTAGCGTTAAAGGAATTTTCTGATGGTAGGGCTGGTCCTCATAAAATCTGATAGAGAGATTTTGCCTCTAATAAAACAGTTTTCCAGGGGGCCTCTTGTATGGGGGCTAGGCAAAATCATGGACCGATATTGCTTATTTTTAATACTAAACAAACCTTACCAATAAAGAATATCGAACGGACAATGCTACATCGTCTTAAAATTTAATATTGACCCAGAATATATATACTTTTGTGGACAAATATTTTGATGTGTTACAAACGGAATGACAAAATCAATATAACTCCCATCTCTTTTGATGGTGGGTATAAAAAGACAAAAAAAAAATCCCCCGACTCGCGACGCGTCTTTATACATACACAGTTAAATACGAACTTAGGTAAATTTCAAGTAATTTGTATCAAAATGGATAGTAATTTCGAATATAACTCAGCTGATTTTAAATATTTTAAGTCAAAAAAATATTTAAGTTAAAATTTTTAACTGATCTTGCTCAGCATGTACAAAATTCCCAGCAAAAACTCTTAATGACTTGTACTTACTCAAAAACTTATTTTTCAATGACAGCTACCTACCGTCTACATTAATTTTGAGGACCGCCACCCGGGGCATGTTTCTATGCTGATAGACCCCATCATAGTATATTGCAATCCCGGGGAACCAGTACTTCTAGTCTGCCGGGACTATATACTTGTGATGATCAAATGTATCCTCGGCCTTTCCTTGGAATAAAGTGGCTGTGGTTTAAACCCATATTCGGGGGGAGAGCATGTCAGTTAAAGGTGTTAAATGTATATGATACAGGGTGAATGTAGGGGTACACCTCGCCCGTATATTTAGAATGAGTTTGTAGGATGTTGTTCTCTATGAGTGTTTGGGATGAATGAGAAGTATGTTTGGTTGAATAGTGATGGATGAAAGATATCTTATACAAGTGATACCATTGAATTTTCCTTCCCATTCCAAGCTTGTTTAGCGAAAACCCTATTCATTCCTGATTTATCACAGTGTTTCTCTGTTATTTCTGGGATTATTTGGATTCGTATTTCGATACGTCTCTAGGTTCAACGTAGAGACGTTTACAACCATCTGCGTGATTGTAAACCACGATGATTTACATCTCTGAAGTTAAGCAACGGGGCAGTAATGGTCAGACATTTTATAGCTCGAGTACAAACACTCTCCTGTGAGATACACAAAGGAGCGTTGGTGAGTCGTCACAAAAGTTTAACCTGTCTGGGTGATGAAGACCACTGTAAAATAAGGACAATACAACTTTCTTTTAATATTATATAGAAGTACAGTTATTGTATTGTACATAATTACAAGATCAAAATTTGTTCCGACCCTTTCTTGAATTTTAAATTTTAAACAAGCAGCTAACGCCTTTTATGGGGACATGAGTCAACTATGGGCCTAACATTACAGGGTTCAAGAAAATTTCTCGATTTTATGACAAAAGGAGTTATTTGGGAAGTAGGTTCAATTAAAAAGGATTGAGTACCACTGAATCCGAATATGGTCTCAGAAATGCTCAATCACATCTGGCATTTGAGATATTGTGTCCTGAAGTTGGAAAAAATGTTGTATGTCATCTTTTTCGAGATATTTTTACCCAAAGCTTGATAGATAGAACAATAAATTGACAAAAACTGTATTTTTTCACATTTTACATTTTTTCTTATGAAAATAACTTTTGAATTGTTTTAAAATCTGCTGTAGTTGATGAGATATCATCCTTTAAAGTTGTCGGACGGACAGACATCGTTAAGTCTAATCAGAAAGTGATTTTGAATCGATTGGAACATCCTTTGATAGGTGTGAATACAATATTTTTGCTCACAATATTTACAAAGCATAATACCCTCACACTATAGTAGTATAGGGTATAAATACCATAAATATACCGAAAACCATGAGTTTTCAAACTTTAGGTGAAGATATCTCAAAGAAGAAAGATCATATGTCAGATGTTAAGCCTTTATTTTAAAGCTGTTAGAATGAACTTAATAAAGTTTTCTTGGTGCTTTTATAACGTCTCAAAAAAGGCCAAAAATAGCTTTTTCTCTAATTTCAGATGGGATGGAGAAAATCAGACTTGGGTTCAGTGCGGCTCAATCCTTTAGAAATGTTTAACTTGGTCTTAGAGTTTCGACTTTTTTCAAATTTTATCGGCCTTTGTTATGGAGACTTT